ATTTTTGAGTAAAGAATTTTCCCCTTAAAATGTGAGTGAACCCTGTAGATATGAAAGGGAAGGGGGTTTATTTACACTTTGAGATGATTTGATTATCAAATCTCATCTTACAGGTTTCATGCATGTTTAAGGAGGAAAATTGCTAATAGGGAGGTAGAGGAAAGCTTAAGGACATACTTGCAGTTTGGACTAACTTTGTCCCAGGGTCTGCATTGATCCTGTGCCCAGGTTCCCCCACAGATCTGCCCAGTGTCCTACATCTGCAGATTGTTCTTACTGCAGTACAGGATCGAAATAATAAACTAGGCCAATACACAAGTAAAGGAAACCAATAGACCTCCTTTTGGAGCTTCTTTCAGTATAGTAAGAAAGCAGTAGGAGGTGATATGATAGTTGAAAGTACGGAACATTAAAACTGAATCCACTTTCACCCCTGCTGGTTTTGGCCTTGGGCAGGTTATTAAAGGTGTGAGCCCTGCTCTTGTCAGCTCTCTGTGGGGCAGCGTCATCGCGTCACAGTGGTGGTCAGACAGGGTGTGTGCACCAGTGCCCCTCAGCCCCTCCCTCCAGAGGCACAAGGCGTGCGTCGCTCTGCTCCGAGACATCAGTGCCTGGGGTTTGTAGAAATTCCCTTTCAGTAGGAACGTTAAACCATTTACCCAGCACCTCGAATATTGCAGAACGTGTGTTGTTTCCGGAGAAATTATCAGCACCTAGCAGCTGAAGGAGCAGTATTGTCGCTGCTACTTTGATGTGTGGGTGCAGAGGGGTGGCTGTAGAGACGAAAGCAAAGCTGAAAGTGTCAGGCTGGGATTTTCTCATCCAGAACAGACTCTCACCTTAGAAGCCCACCTGGACCAAGACGTTTCCGCACATAATCTAGACGCCTTAACAATTACTGTTCTTCAAGGTTTCTGATTGCCGTTGGGGCCTGAACAGGGTTCAGAAGCCTTGAGAGCATTTTATGTACTAATTCAAGGTGTGGTGGCTTCTTTTTGGAGTTTTATATCTAAGTTCCTATATGTATGTACACATACTCTTTTCTTTTAAAAACATTTTCTGATTATCAACATGACCAATGTTTAAGGGGAAAAAAGTCCTCTTTGGGAAAGAGTAGTACTGATAATTCTACTAATCGCTATTTTGGGGATTATCTTCAGAATTTTCTGCCCATGTGCACATGCGTGTCTACATCAGCGGGCACCTGTCCTTCATCTTTTTTATTTAATTTATTTATTTTTATTTTTGGCTGTGTTGGGTCTTCGTTTCTGTGCGAGGGCTTTCTCTAGTTGGCAGCAAGTGGGGGCCGCTCTTCATCACGGTACGCGGGCCTCTAACTATCGCGGCCTCTCTTGTTGCGGAGCACAGGCTCCAGATGCACAGGCTCAGTAGTTGTGGCTCACGGGCCTAGTTGCTCCGCGGCATGTGGGATCTTCCCAGAGCAGGGCTTGAACCCGTGTTCCCTGCGTTGGCAGGCAGACTCTCAACCACTGTGCCAGCAGGGAAGCCCTGTCCTTCATCTTTAGTGTCATCTTCAGGCTCTTAGGCTAGGGCGGAGGACCAGTCCCTTCCTTTTTCCTCCTTGTCCCCACGCTCAGCAGTTGCTTATCTCTTACAGAATGTGAGAACAGAGACCCATGACAGCTACCTGTAGTAGGTTCTAGGAAGTATTGATTGGCGCTCAGATGTCAGAACCAGCTTTTGGGTTTTTTTTTTGCGGTACACAGGCCTCTCACTGTTGTGGCCTCTCCCATTGCAGAGCACAGGCTCCAGACGCGCTGGCTTAGCCACCATGGCTCACCGCCCTAGCCGCTCTGCGGCATGTGGGATCTTCCCGGACCGGGGCACGAACCCGTGTCCCCTGCATCGGCAGGCAGACTCCCAACCACTGCGCCACCAGGGAAGCCCTCTATGACATTTTTATAGTTAAGTTGTAGAAGTTCCACTTAAACTCTTTTCCTGTCTAGATCTGATTTGAAACTTGTATGTATGTATTCATTATAAAGGACATTGTTACAGGTTAAAAATATACTGAGTTTTCCACTTACAAGCCTTACAGATTTATATCTAAGTAGATGTTTGTCAAAGCCAACTCTTTAGAAAAAGAAGCAAGTGTAAATAAAATCCATGAGCATCGCAAGTTCAGGTTTAGAAGGCCAAATTGGACCAGTAAGAACAGTGATTGTAAAACCATCTAGATTAGGTATAGAAATGTCTTGGCCCAAGTTAAAGGATACTGATTCCTAATGTTGTGTTGCTGAAGCAAAAATAATATGGGTATCTACACAAGACTCATTAAAACAAAATTAAACAGCAGACAAGCCCTGCACCTCCTTTTGGTTTTGTGATGTGAGGACCAAGGGGGTGAATAACTGACTCCTCAGCCCCCCCAGCACCTGCCATTGTGGGACGAAGGTGGAGGCACCTCCTCAGCCTCTTATTGCACCAGGCTGTGTGGGAGCCCATGAGGAAATCTGGTGTTTGGTTCGCTGGAGGACTCGAGGGTTTCTCTCTGAGATCATAACAGGATCAGTGACTTGGTTTTTAATATGTAACATGAAGAGTGCCATTTTATGGTTAACTATAAAATAATATTCTGTCTTTGTGCCTTGAGCTTTCTAGCTGAAGGGAAGGTGAAAAAAAATCATATTAAGTTTGTTTGTAATGCTATTTTGCATCTCCTAGATGAGCACCATGCCTGGACTCCCTACCCGGCCCTGTTTCTATGATATTGATTTGGACCCTGAAACTGAGCAGGTGAATGGGCTGTTCTAAACAGGTAAGTTGTTTCTGGTGAAAGTTCTGCTTTTTTCCTTATGAGGCATGTTTATGAATTATAGGACTCCAGCTAAAGCTACGAAAGCGCAAATTCAGTGCTTTCAAAAGATTTCTTTCCAGACATCAGTGAGAGGAGAGGGGGCAGTAGTGTAACCAATGAATGAAATACTTACATTTCAATATTTTTGGAAAAAGAGCAGGGTTCATCACAGTTTGGCAGCGTAGGGTGGAAAGGCGCCATCCAGTGAACTAAGGAGGGACCCCAGTGGAGGTTAGACCCCCTCTGTGGAGCCCCAGGAGGCTCCGGGCTTGGAGCTGATAGCACATTGGAGGGCAGGAGCAGCTGAAGGTCTGCATACTCTGAATAGACAGTTGGCACACAAGAGTGAGTAAATGTCCCAGAAAGTAGAAAAGAGAAGGAAGCAGGACCAGTCCAGGAGTTCTTGGGTCTTAAGTGAAGGGCCCCCAAGTACTCATCACAATGAATGGGCCACCCCTGGACATATCCAGGTGAAATTTCAGAAACATCAAAGATGAAAATCCTAAAAATCCTCTCCAAAGAAGAAGAAATGGCTTTTGCCTATGAAAAAAACTGAGAATTAGCCTGAACCTCTGTCTTCTTATCAGCAGTAAAAGGCTCCTAGACAGTGGAGGAATGCCCTCCAGGTCTACGGGGAAAGATGACTTTCCACCTGTGTTTACACCCACCAAATCTATCCAGAGGTTTTCAGACACGCACAGTTTGGCACCCCGACGCCTCTTCCTAGGAAGGGATTTAGCAGTGTACTCCAGCACAGCGAAGACCAAAGAAAAGGGAGACACGGTTTTCAGGAAACCAAAGCCTGGTCTGGACTGTAAAGAAGGGGAGTCCTGACAACTGCAGGTGACCCAGAGTTACAAATCCCACATGGAACAGGAGAAGGGAGGAATTGAGAAAGAGTAGAGAGAGCTAGAAAGACAAGGGTGTCAAAAGGGTAATTATGCAAAAGAAAAGCTCTAACATTGTTTAAGAATGTAAAGGTCCAGGTGGAAGCAAACCGTGGCCATCATCTGGGCAACTGTAAGGGTGGTTGCTCATAGAAGCACCTCTGCTTACACAGCAGAGAGACCATGTGCTAGATGCTGGGGGAGCACACAGAAATGTCATCCTGGCTCATGCTTGGTCTGCCCTTGAACAGTATTCACACAGCCATAATGTAAATGCTGTGCATTGTCTTCAAGTCTATGGACAGACCCCAGAAGAGCTGGCAGTGGGAAGGGAGGTAAATGTTGACAACTTTGACAGTGAGAGAGGGTGATGGTGCTGTGTGGAAGGGAAGAGGAGATGTTTCAGTGCTTAGAGAAAACTATTTCTTGTTTCATTTTCCTTCCAGATTGTCCATCTTCAAGAAGCAACTTTGAAAGTTTGGCCAGTGTTTATTCAGGCCTCCTATCGGGAAGTGTGTGGAAGTTGAGAGAAGTCAGTCCCGGCCCCGAAGATTTTCTGAAAAATAAGTAGTGGGAGTTTTCCCAGAAGCCTTTCTTCAGTCTTAATTCCCACCATTGTGTATAAATCAACACAAATCATGCACATGCCTAATTACTGCATCCATAGAATAAAAGTAAATAATTTTGCAATCTCGGTGTTCAAATATAAATTGTAGCATTAACAGACTGCTGCCCTAGCTCTGCTGTCCTGTGTGATCTGGGAGACCCCTTGGACTGAAGAAGCAAGTTGTAGTGTGTACTATATGATACATTGTGTTTAAAGGGGGAAAGGTGCATGGCTTGTGTGTTTCTGGGAGGACAGGAGACCTCCTGAGAGGGCTGAGAGAGAAGTAGAATCCAGAGGACATGCCTTTTTGTCATATACTTTTCTGTATTGTTCTTTTTTTTTTACGCCGAGAAAGTATTGCTTACACAGGTTTTTGTCCTGAATTTCCTTAGAATTCCCGTTTCTGTCACAGCTTTAGCACCATTTTTTTTTTAAATTTATTTTATTTATATATTTTTTTGGCTGCATTGGGTCTCCGTTGCTGCGTGCGGACTTTCTCTAGTGGCGGAGAGCAGGGGCTACTCTTCATTGCCGTGCACAGGATTCTCACTGCGATGCCTTTTCTTGTTGCAGAGCACGGGCTCTAGGCAAGCGGGCTTCAGTAGTTGTGGCTCACAGGCTCTAGAGCGCAGGCTCAGTAGTTGTGGCACATGGGATTAGTTGCTCCACGGCATGTGGAAGCTTCCCGGGCCAGGGCTCGAACCTGTATCCCCTGCATTGGCAGACAGATTCTTAACCACTGTGCCACCAGGGAAGCCCAGCACCATTTATTTTTAATAAGTCCTCAGGAAGGATGGTCATACAGCATTAACTGTAGGGTAGCTCTTTCTACTCTGTTGGTTCAGCACATATTTATTGAGCTTCTACCCTGTGCCTGAGCTCTCTCTCCCTCCCTACAGGATGTTTTTTCCCTCACATGTTTTCCCTTCTCTTCTTGTTCTTTATCTTCTAACTCTGTTCTTCCTCTCCCATCTTTCCTCCCTTTTCCCCTTCTTCTTCCTGCATTGGATCCTTCCAGAAGATGTTGCATCCCCACCGGCGCCAGTGCTAAAAGACTGCTAGCATGGGCAGAGCAGTGTTTTTCCTGGTGTCCTTGGTTTTATTATTTTTAATCCCCTAGGTGTGATTGTAATAGTGTCGGTTTTGCAGTTTAAAGAAATGATGACAGTGCTTTGGAGGGCATATGGCAAAGGGGTCATGAGCACGGAGCCCCAGCTCCACCATGCTTTGTATACTGCCTGGCACATTGTACACACTCAGTGATGTCATTTCCTGTTCAAAAGCATCATTTGGGCCCTGTCTGCACAGAGTTCATTGTTTCTAGTGTTTTTTAAAATGTCCTATAAAACCTCATCTGGATGGGACTTTCTGGGAATTCAATTTGTAAACAGGGGAAGAAAGCAGTCTATTGTCAGACGTGGTGACTTAAAGATCACCTTAAGGAATTCAGGCTTCCTCATATCACCAAAAGCCATGTGGGTTTATTTATTTATTTAATTAAAAAATTTTTCTGGTCGCACCCCACGGCATGTGGGATCCTAGCTCCCCGACTGCACCCGCTGCATTGGAAGCCCGGAGTCTTAACCACTGGACCACCAGGGAAGTCCCTGCTGTGTGGGTTTAAATCTTTAATATTGATAGAAGTAGTGAACACAGTTGGTGGGAGAGGGTAAGTGGAGGTTTATAAGGCAAAAAAACAGCCCTAATACAATAAATAAGCCAAATTGTCTTTACCAGGTATTGCTTGGAGTGAACGGACTAATGCAAGAATTTTCCTAGAAGTAAAATATGCCTTCAGTAAAATTTCAAATGGTACAATTTGCTCTTTCCACTTGGCAATATACCTTGGAGGTCTTGCTCCATCAGCAGTTTGGGATTCATCTTGTTTCATATGGCTGTGGAGTATTTAAACAGTCCTTCTGATGGACACTTAACCATTGTTTCCTGGTTTGGTAGCTACAGGCCCAGGCTGTGGGTGAATAGGGACCAGGATGGGAGAAACGGTATGATCAGTAGAGATCAGATAAATAAGCAAGTGATTTTATTGGCACACTGTATCTGGTGATGTTAACAAGATAAGCTGTAGGTAGGATAATTTCTCATCAGATTGGAGATATATTTAGAGCCTGTTTCTCATTATATAATGAAAAGCTACTAATTGAGTAGCAGACAATGATATGGGTAATAACTTACTAACTGTCACTTAAGTGAGTTCAAGGATGACAGGTTTCTTTCCTGTATGAGGTACTGGATACATTTTTTTTTAACTCAGATATGGCATCGGGTTCTAGTTGTATTCTAAAGAAAAACGACAGTGCAGTATTTTATTTATAGTTCTGTACTCTGTGAGTGTGTGTGTTGGAGGTTGGAGATGAGTTATATGTAATACACCTTACAGAAATCTGCCCTTCAAATACAAAATCAATTCACCTCTTACCTCAAACCACTCTTCAGTTCCCTTTCAGTAGTCGGTTTTTTTTTTAAGAAAAGCAACTGGGATAAGATCTTACAAGTCCTTAAGATGGCCTTTATTGCTTTTAACCTATCGCTGATTTCATTTCCAGTTACTTCCTAATAAGACAGCTATTCTACCCTGTCTTCATCTAGATAAGCTCATCTTATTTTTGCCTGAAATTGTTGCAAACTCCCAGATCTGCTAGATTTGAGAAAACTTGGATCTCAATAAGTAATTGCATCTCAGTTGGTTATGAGTGGCATGGATTTCTTTTGGCTTGTTTAAAGTTCAAAACTGACAGTAAGCAGGGTTAGTAACTCATCTGGGGATATAAAACATCTTCACAGCCTGGTATTCAATGAATGAACAAAGATAAATTGAATTCTTAATTATAACTACTATAAATTAGATGCTTCTGGATTTTCCTGTTTTACAGCTCTTGTCTCTAAGATCTTGACAGCTTAGATTCAGCTTTGCTGTTGTGTCCTAATAGTGCTTTGCTTAATAAGTTTCAGTGGAAGCTATAGAAACTTAGAGGTAAAATATATTCTTGGAAAAACATCCAAAAATGGGTAACTGAGGTTTACTCTCAAAGATCATGATCCTATTGAAGAAAAGAGTTAAGTACAACTACTTTTCAGTAGTTCTTCCCTTCATCATAATAGGTTCTTCATCTGCCTGGGAGGGGCCAGAGGAGAAGGCAGGAATTGTGCATCCCACGGGACCTCACCTCTGGAGCTCCCAGGAATGCCGTTGTAGGTAACATTAAGCCCACTCTCATTGTAACACCTTTCATTAGTGTTAAATGCATTGTACACAATGGATTATGTGTACAAATAAATGCTTATGGTGCTTTTCACTAAGGCTAGGAACTTGTTTAAAGACTCAAAATGTGTGAAAATACACAGCCTACCTAGTCAGGCAGGAGGGTAGATATTGCCTGTGCCCTTTGCTCTGATCAGGACTGGAATTGTGAGGAAAGCTGTCTCCTATTCTCCATGCCCCGCTTGAGAGGAACAAGGTTAAGCAGCCACCTAGGAATATCCTGAAGGGAAACATGGATAACTTGTAAGCTACTTATTCTTGGAAATATATATAAGGTATAAAGGATGGATGGGGCTGGGTTCCTGTGTTCTGACCTCGATGGCACACAGGTTGCATCATCTCTGCCTGCCTTCTAGATACTTACGAAGACACGGGTTTGTGTCTTGGGCCTCTGAGAGGATTTGGCAATGAACCCTTTGATACCCAAAACTTTTCCAGGAGTGGGTTTGGGTGTAATGAGGTTTTTCTCTCTCAGTTCATGTAATTTTCTCGCCAAACGAGATTCACTGCACAGTTTTGAATCCTACTTTTAAAATGTGGTATCTGCTGTGACTTAAATATTCAGTGGGGCGATTTATAATGGGAGTACCATAATTTAAAATTGGATTTTCCTACTTTGCGTCTGAGAAAATGGGAGGCTTATGACCCTGGTCCCCTCCCCATCTGCCAGCCCTCTCTTTTCTCGGTGGCCCCCGATGTGGTCGCGCGCCAGGGATTCGCGCCAGGCTGGGAGCGCCCGTGGCTGGGCGAACTGCTCTCGGAAAGACCTTCCGATCACCCCCTCACCCTCCCCCGCGCCCACCGCCCCTAGCCCGGCCCCGTCCCGCGCCCGCACCCTCCGCGCGCATTGGTGCAGCCGGCTGTCTGTCCCCGCCCTCTGGGGGAGGGGGCGCCGCGGGGCTGCGTTCTCTGCAGAGGGCTGCTTGCTCCGGGTGCGACCGTGGCTTCCCGCCTACCCGTGCGCCCAGCCCAGCGAGCGCCCCCGCGACCTCGGCGACAGCGTCGACCAGGGACCCCGGCGCCCGCGGTAAGTGAAGAGGGCGAGTAGGTTGCAGGTAAAGGGTGCGGACCGGTGCACCTGCGCGGCAAAGTGGGCGGGAGGTGCCCACTGGACACCGGGAATCCGGGCCGCCCGAGGTGGCCGGAGTGAGAATCGGGAAGGTCGTTTGTCTGCAGAAATCTCCAGCCAGCGCGACCCTCGAAAGCTCTGCCCACATCTATCCTCTGCGCGTTACAGCTCGTGTTGCTGGTAGCTTTTTTCCTTCTTTCCCCTTTTGGGGGAAAATAGAGTGCCGGGTTCCTGGACATTATAATTGTGCAGATAGCTTGAAGCTGGTTTATGTCTTCCACGCCCGCCCCAGCACTTTCCTTTTTGAGTACTTTCTGCTACGCTCTAGCTCCTGCCATAAGGCGATTCAAGCCGAAGGAGAGACGCCCTCCTCCAGGAGAAAGCTTCGTGGTCCACACCTGGCGCTGGGAGAGATTCACTGCTTTCCCCAGGAAGTGGCTGCTCTTTGCCTCCGTGCTTCTCTGCTCACGGGAAAAGGGGAAGGGGTATTTTTTGTGGCAGTAGACTTGCGATTCTATCAGGAAATTACAACAGGGACTTTAAGATTGCCCAGGCGATAAAACTATTTGTGCAGGTTAAGGGAGAATCATTTGCAGTCTAATGTCCTGCAAAGTTTTAGTATCTACAGGCTGCATTTTCCCCATTTCAGTTAGGTTTTGTTTGGGTATTTATTTCTGCATCATGATATACATTTAAGTGAGCTTCTCAAGCAGTTGTCTTTGGGCAATCCAGATTAGTTTCAAATGATGCATTCCTAAACATGATCCGATTTCAGTATTTCTATTAGCTATACAGCCTCTGGTTAATAAAAACTCTCAGGCACTGAGAACTCACAAGAGGTGACGAGACTTAAGGAGCTATAATCAGCTGTGGTTCTTGTGCTTATGGAAACATCGTATGAGGAGGGACACTGTAAAATGTTCATATTTTAGTTCCATCATTGTTCTAGGATGACTTTGCCTTTCTGTCAGGGGCATGGAGTATGTAACACTCAACCTAAGAGAATATTTACTTAGATCATGAACTGATTTTCAGAGTTCCAATTCCTTCTGTGGTTCACAGAATCAAGAGCTACCCAAATAAACCTTCAACAGTGAAGGATTTACAAAAAAAAAAAAAAAAAAAAATACAAAGAAAGAGTCCCTTTGCTTATTTTAGGACATCCATCAACTAAAATTCATAGGATTTTTGTTAGGTGATCACCTCACGTCTCTATTCATTGGTACCCTCATACCGTTCTGTGGATTGATTTAAAATATACCTTTATATTTATATGTAACTAATCAGTTTGCCAATTGCATATCTTATCAACTTATTTCTGGCTTTCAAATTAGTTCCAGAACCACAAAAATAAAATATAAAGAACTGCAAAAGCTTAAATTTTAAAATAGCAAGAACTCAGTCTAGTCTTGGTTCAGTTATCAGTTGATGGGCTACATTATGGTAACACAACCATTTAAGCAATTTTAAAATTTTTTTGACTAGCGAGTCTAGTGCAGATTAGCATCTCCAAACAATTCATTTTTCTGATGAAACTCTTAAAACCCAGTTCCAGAGGACAGGCTTTAGAAACAGGCAATCTTGGGTTGAATCTGAGCTCTGTTATCGATTAGCTGTATAATCTAGAGCAAGTTACTTAACCTCTCTAGGCCTCAATTTCTTCATCTGTAGATGGTGATACCACCACCTACTCTGTAATGTTGTGGGAAGATTAGAGATGTAAAAGTGCTTATTAGCACTTCCTGATAGACAGGAGTTGCTCAATAAATGTCAACTATTATTACCATTCACTCTGACCTTCAACTATGTGCTCGTTATGGAAAATGTCTGAACTGCAGATACTTAGAAAAAAAAGTCAAAATTACACAAACAGATTTAAGAGTGGAGAATGACAGTAATGTTAAAAATTTCCCAAGGCATGTATGAAAAGTAGCACCTCCTTCATGGAACATACATTTTTAGAACAGAAACCTTATGGTATAATGGAAAGAACATTAGAGAGTCAAAGTCTTCAGTTCTAACTCTGGCTATGACCTCATCTAACTGTGTGGCTTTTAGCAGGCCAGCTGCCCACTCTGGAGCTCAGTTTCTTCATCTGGCTCGACTTGAATAATCTCAAATAATCTCTAAGATCCTTTGCAACTTCAGAGCTCTTTACTGCATTAATAAAAATTACACCCTGCCCTTCATTGTTTTTTGTTGTTCATGGTGGTGTGGTGGTTTTTGTTTGTTAACTTGCAATTCAGAGTCATAAACGATTCGTAAAGACAACACAACTCCAGAACTGATAAAATAATATCAGATTTGCAGAGTAATCCAAAATGAAGTTTTAACAAACAGACAGCAAAAGAAATTCACAGTGAAATCTTTTGGATAGGGCAAAAGTAAACCCCAATTTTTATTCTTCAGTCATTTTAGTAAGTTATTATATGGGAAACATGCCCAGTAGAACCATATGCATTCAACTGAAATAGTCTCTATAGAAAACAGTAGGCTGATGGTGAAATAAAATACCACTCTCTTTTCTCTTATCAGGTTGACCCTTAAATAAAACAAAAATCTATCCAGTAAAAGGGCTTTCATGAAGAAATTAAAGAGATAAATTACAAGTAATAGTGAAACAAGGCATTTTTATAACTGGAAAAACCACCTAAAACAACTGTATGGAGTAAGACGAAAGGAGTGATTACATCGGGAAGAAATTTTACTTAGTGTGATATTTTTGCCTACTTTTTTGTCATAAAAGGCTGCTAAGGAAGAGAGGATACAGATTTCTAGAGAAAGAAAGAGTGTAATATAAAAATGGAGATCACAGTTCCTGAAATACAAGTAGAAAGCAAGGATGAAAAGAGATCAGCAGAGGTTAGTCCTCAGAATGAGAGGCAGGAGGAAAAAGCATCGACGCTTTGCTTCAAGAGAAGAAAGAAAGCAGCCAAAGCAATGAAGCCCAAAGCTGGCTCTGAAGCTGCTGATGCAGCAAGGAAGCGTCCCCCAGAAGCAGGAGCTTCTTATCAGCCAGAGCCCCCCGGGGGGGCCTGGGCTTCCATCAAACGCCTTGTAACACGCAGCAAAAGGTCAAATTCTTCAAAGCAGCCAAAGCCCTTTGAGGCCAAAGTGCAACCTGAAATCAATGCTGAGGATGATAATTCTAAAAAAAAGGCAAAATCCAGACTCAAGATTCCCTGTATAAAATTCTCAAAAGGGGAGAAAAGAAGTAATCATTCCAAAATTATAGAAGACTCAGACTGCAGTATCAAAGTCCAACGACAGGCTGGAAGTTTGGATACAAAAACTCTGACCCAATCAGATGACCAGGCAGCAAAGACCAAGTCGAAGCAGGATGTAAGGGAAGATGTCTCACAGAAAGGGAGTGATGAGGTCTGTGAATCAAATGTGAACAACAGCATAACTTCTCCTGGAGAGAAAGTGATTTCAGTAGAACTTGAGTTAGATACAGGGCATTCTGCTATTCAAACAGGAACTCTAATCCTTGAAAAAGATATTGAAACGCTTGAGGAAAAACAAAGCATTCAACCTCAGCAAGCAAGCCCACTGGAAACTTCAGACACAGAACACCAGCTCCCAGTGGTTTCTGATGTTCCTCCCTCACCTGCAGTCCCAGATCAACAAATTCTGGAAGAAGCCAGAAACAGTATCCTAGAAAGTGGACCAGACTGGAAAGACCGTGAAAGTAAAGAGACTGTTGCTGAGGAGAGCAAGCCGAAAGATACTGAACTGAGCCAGGAATCAGATTTTCAAGTAAATGAAATCATTGCAGAAAAACCCAAACCAGAAGAAAGCAAAAGAATGGAGCCAATTGCTATTATTATCACAGACACTGAAATCAGTGAATTTGATGTTAAGAAATCTAAAAATGTCCCTAAGCAATTCTTAATTTCAATCGAAAATGAGCAAGTGGGGGTTTTTGCTAATGATAGTGGTTTTGAGAGTAGAACTTCAGAACAATATGAAACACTCTTAATAGAAACAGCTTCTTCTCTTGTCAAGAATGCTATCCAGTTATCTATAGAACAGCTGGTTAATGAAATGGCCTCTGATGATAATGCAAAAAGCAATCTTCTACAGTGACTTAATTTCCACATCATGGGAGGGAAAAAATGCTTAATGGTAAATTATTTTACATATTTGTGGTATTTCTTATTCAGTAACAAATGAGAGATTTAACATCTGTAGAATTTAAAGGTACAGTTCAAACCCAGAAGTGCTAAAGAATTAAGTTGTAAAATCCTCCCTTATCACTGAAATGTAGCCACTTCTGGATTGAAGGAAGTCAGTACAGATTGCAATGAAAAGTAATACCTAGGAAATTGCTAAAATGGTTTGTGGAGATTAGACTGCCTGGGAGAAGCAAGATGAATTTATTGAGCACTTGCCGTATGCCGTAAGCTCTTTAATGTCCTCTGATGTCACAAAGCCTGGTTTCCTTTTAAAAGTTCAACACTGTGTATAGGTTAACATCGCATTCTGTTTTCAACAACTTTTTTTTTACAGTGCACTTTTATGTTGTATAAATGGTGATAAGGTGAGCTATTTTTGTGAATGTGTGACTTATAGCTGTTATACTCCTAGGTAGTAGTCTTACCTCAAAAAAATACTGCAGGGCTTCCCTGGTGGCACAGTGGTTGAGGGTCCGCCTGCTGATGCAGGGGACGCGGGTTCGTGCCCCGGTCCGGGAGGGTCCCACGTGCCGCGGAGCGCTGGGCCTTTGAGCCATGGCCGCTGAGCCTGCGCGTCCGGAGCCTGTGCTCCGCAACGGAAGAGGCCACAACAGTGAGAGGCCCGCATACCGCAAAAAAAAAAAAAAAAAATACTGCAAACCAAAAAAATAATAGTTTGATTAAACATGAGTGGTTTTCTAGTCTTGCTCAAGTTCCTTACAAAAGCCATTCACAAATTACTTCAAACAGGCAAATAATTACCAAGTGCAAAGGTGTGGAAACAGGGAGTGCATTTTCCATCTCCATCTTTCTTCTGCCACAAGCAGACCTGTATAAAAATCCACTTGCGCACGCGGGCTTCCCTGGTGGCGCAGTGGTTGAGAGTCCGCCTGCCGATGCAGGGGACACGGGTTCATGCCCCGGTCTGGGAAGATCCCACATGCTGCGGAGTGGCTGGGCCCGTGAGCCATGCCGCTGAGCCTGCGCGTCCGGAGCCTGTGCTCCGCAACGGGAGAGGCCACAACAGTGAGAGGCCCGCGTACTGCAAAAAAAAAAAAAAAAAAATCCACTTGCGCATGGGATCATCTGCTGAAAAGCTAAAAACAAAAAACAGGGTTTCCCTGGTGGCGCAGTGGTTAAGAATCCGCCTGCCAATGCAGGGGACACGGGTTTGAACTCTGGTCCAGGGAAGATCCCACATGCCGCAGAGCAACTAAGCCAGTGCACAACTGCTGAGCCTGTGCTCTAGAGCCTGTGAGCCACAACTACTGAGCCTGCGTGCCACAACTACTGAAGCCTACGCAGCTAGAGCCTGTGTTCCGCAACAAGAGAAGCCACCGCAATGAGAAGCCTGTGCACCGCAACAAAGAGTAGCACTCGCTCACTGCAACTAGAGAAAGCCCACACGCAGCAACAAAGACCCAACTCAGCCAAAAAATAAATAATGTTTTTAAATTAAAACAACAAAAAGTGGATTATTTTCCATCCAGGAGAAGACAAACTTCCCAAGTAACAAATTACCACATATAACACACGATTCGTCTTGCAAGATTAAATCTCTGGAGACTGTCTTCATCAATCTCTCCTCAAAGAGGGGAGAGTGGACTCAAAGCAAACCTGGCAGTAAAAGTCATAGGAAATCATAATAATTTAGTGAAAATATTCATGCTTGGCTAATGAGCCAAATACATCTTTCATTGTGCCTATGTGTTGAGAGACACCAGTAAAAATTTTACACGGATATTGAAAATAAACTTTTTCATCAGTAATTTTAGTCCAACTAGTCCCTTACAAAAAAAAAAATGAACTTAATATAACAATGAGAAGGGCTTGTTTGCATTTTATTCAGTTATTTAAATCATCGATCTCAATGATTGTCATATTTTTTGAAAAAATAAGTAATTGTTTCCACCTTTCCTTGTGTGAAATGACCCTAATACTGCAACCCACTTCCGTACCTCACAGGTCAGGGTTCCTATTGTACAGTCCTCCACTGTCTAAACTGAGTGACAGTGTCACTCTGAAAGTAGATGAAGTAATGAAGAGCTTTTGCTTGAGTTGTAAGGTATTTGTACATTCTTGGAGAAAAGAATGTACATTAGATGATTTCAAATGATCTGGTGACTTCCTGCATTATTTATGGATTGCATACAGAAAGTATGTGCTAATTTGTCCCATAGAATCTTTGTTTCTTCCTGTAAGTACATATTGAGACCTCTGGCAGAAGAACCTAATCTGACTTTGGAACTGAACCAGATAATGGATATTATTAGCAAGATTCTTTGCTGAAGTGTAAATGTATTCCCCGTATTCCCCCAGATTTTCCTACCTTCATGCTTATAACCTTGGGGGGTGGGGTGGGAGGAAGAGGGAAGCTACCAAAATCCTTCAGTTTCACAAGATGAAAAGTGGATCTTTCAAAACATGACCCAAGAAATCAATTTCATTTAATTGTATAATTTTTAAACATTTTTTAAAAAAAGACTGCTAAGTCATCCTCCCTAAAAACTTTTTAATTCACTATATGTGGTGCTAATGGACTTGGACAGCTACCAGCAACTACATATTTAAAAGTGAGCAATTTAAAAAGACTGATTAAAGTTGGTGCATTTAACAGTGTTTCGAAGAATCCTGCCTTCATTTACTGCAAGGATGGCTCAAGCCATATACTTTCATTGTAAATTTTTAGTAATTTCTCATGAATAAGCAAAAAGTATAGCATTTACCAGTTATTGAAAATATTTTGAAATGTGCAGGTATATTTATTTGGGAGTTTTAAAAACGTGAGGTAAATATGTGTAATGAAATTCTTCTAAGAAAATAACATTTTATCTAAGTAGTCCTAGGTTTCTATTTTTTTTCCACTGTGGTGTGGTACATATTTGGTTAGAATGTATTATAATTGATAGTTTTTGTGATGAAATGTGTACTCTATTTGCATTCATTCTTAAGTGGTTTCTCCTCAGTCTTTTCTATTGAGAATATCTGGTGAATTAAATAAGTAGGATCCAGTTTGAAAAAGGATTCCAGAAATTAATTGGTCTCAATCTGATTATATCTGCTACATGGCCAAATCCCACTACTATGAATTGTAAGGTGATCTAAATTGTTTTGTTGTTATAGAAATAATTAGGAATCAGATGACTTAGAAGTTTCCAATAAAATATTTTTTTTATTTTAATGGTATTTATTTTAAGCAATTTGACCTTATATGCAAGACATTAAATGAATATAAATAGGTTCTTATTCAATTCACATCCATTTGACAATATTAAAATATCACTTAAAAGGCAATTTAATAACACCACATTAATTTTCCTTTAAATTTGCTGTGGTATAAATGCTGCTTTTAGTGAACATTTATTAAGTAGCTGGGATTCAGTTTCTCTTTGAACTCGATTTTACAAGGCTGGTTGGTTTATCAGGTAACTTCTTCAGCACATTATCTTCCCCCTTTTAAGATTCAAGTATTATTCAGTTTGCTTTACAACAAGCGAATACAAAAATCCTCCTCTATTTTGTGTAGCACTATTCACTTAACATTTTCTCAAAGTACTTTATAGGATATAAAAATAGTCCCTGGTCACATTTAAGTAAAGGTAGCAGAAAACAGAAGAACATTCAAAGAGGAATCATGTTCCCTGCCACCTCCTCCACCTCAAGGAACAATAAGCATTTGGTACAAATGGAGTTCTTCAGAAAAGCTGTCAGCATAATTTTCTTTGAAGATAATCCATTTGACAGCACGAAGTTTGGATCTTAATTGGTCTACTATTTAATGAAGTCTTAAAAACTCTGATTTATTTCTGAGCGATTACGTTATTTCACCAATATGTGTGAATAGCCTTCCAGCTAAAGGCTTTTAGAAATAATGGATCATGAGAGGGCACCAGTCGAATCTGGCTTCTGCAAAAAATCCAGAGTTAACTTCATCCATAAGTTTCTAACTTCAAGTTGCCTTATTTTTTATAGTTAATAATTAATTTGGGGGATTTACAGCAGAATTAACATAATTATTAAGCTTTAGAATCCATTGTTTGAAAATACCCCTTTAATGTCAACTTTATTCAAATGTGTGAAGTCTGCTTTCTAATTTCACCTGATACTCAATACATTAGGGGTGGACTTTTCTGCCTGCCCTTTCTGCATTTTTAAACATCCTCATTTAAGGTTTAGCGTTTCTTAGTTTCAAATTCCTATGATGTTTTATTGCTTCACAAACGTGAAGTTTCTCATTATACAGAATTCAAAATTTCAATATGTAGTACATTTTATGGCACATTTTTGAAGTTTTTTTGTAATCCTTACTTAGTTACAAAAATTTAACAGAAAGAAACTACTTAAATTTAGATTAAATTCAATTTATTCAACATGTGTTGGGTATGACACATGCCAAACACTGATAAAGGGGACAGTCTCCCTGCCCTCGAAGAGCTCAACCTAGGGAGCCGCAGCAGCTGAAACTTGGACAGGGGTTAAGGCAAAGAACCACAGTAATGCAGCATCGTGAGTACATGGAGACTAAAGAGAAAGAGATTCATTTTGTCTGGTATGAGGAGATGGTCATATAAATACAGGGGCAGTTTGATAGCATTCGGTTGCTAAATAGCTTAAAAGTATATTCCTTCTGATTTGTGAACAGGTGCAGAAAAAAGCCTGCATAATGTTACATATTTATAGTAGTTCTTTGTAAAAATGTTAAGTGGATGAGCTATTATGAAAGCAGAAGTTCCAATTTGTATTTCTCATTAAAATTAGTACTATATTATTGTGGATCAGATGCGAATATTAAAGAAATCATACTCTGTAGAAAAAAGGTTTCAAACCTGAATTAATATATGTACTGTTAATACAAAATAAATGTTATATTGGCTCATGTTTATTTTATTTATCCAAATCTTTTAAGAGAAACGTGGTATAGTACATTAATTTCCTAAAACCATAAAGATCACACTGAAACTACTGAGTTCGTACCACCAAAAGTTCTATTCTCCTGAGTGTTGGCCAAACTTTACAAGACATGCCTAAAAGAGCCCACCTCCAGCAAAGAGAAACACAAACACCTCGAACTTGAATTCAATTTCACTGAAATAATTCCATCTAAAGGGCAATTCTGACTTTGATGCCATCTATGAAGTTGACAGAAGTGTACTTGTTTTCATTGTCTCTTGCTATTGTCACTAGTTGTCTTTTCTGTATTAACCTATAAATTGGTAATAATCTGTATGGTTTTCCAAATTACTAAGCGATCTTTATGTGGAAATGCTTATTCAGATGGTGCCTGCTAAAGCTGGGTGTTTCAAAAGTTCTGTGTTTATTAAGACACTGATTTTCTTCCCTTAACATCAGCAACCCTGTTTTTTTCTTAAGCACAGCCCATTGACAGTAAATAGGCACTATGAAAGAATGTGCTTTCCAAATCTTGGGACCAATTTAAACTTGATAGCGTCTTAAAAGTCCTAAAACTAAACTTTGTTCCAAAATAAAATGTCTTGTTAAGGTACACTGTACATAGGGTATTTAATATTTC